AAAATAAATTGCATGAAAATAGTTGCTCTAACTAATTTTAATATTATTTAAATATGATCTAATAAGGTTGAATAGCTGTATTAAAAAAATTTAATGGACAGAACGCAGGCTCCCTCTTCAATTTGTGGCCTATCTTAGTTTGAACCTCCCCCTCTCTAGTAGTCTAGCTTGCCCACTCTCCAATCAAATCCCTTAAATGAATTAATGCCAGGAAACGGCAAGAGATTATGAAGCCAGTGTAGTTTTTAGATCAATTCAAAATTAAAATACGTTTATATGATTGTGAAGTTTGATAGAATAAAATGATATGTTTGGAATTTTTATTAGCTAGTACAAATTCAAACATTTGTATTTTCATGTTTGCATTTACCAACTCATGCCTTTGCTATGCATTGAATTTTTTTTATTCCATCGCTTCACATCTTAGAAAGAAGTATTATTACTTCTCACCCAAACTAATTCGAAACCCCATTGTATGAGACTGTTATTATCAATCACGATCTCATGAGCATTTGTGGAATGTTTTTGATATATTTATTTAATGTGATTGTATGTCTTAAGGTTTGAGCTTGAGACCCAACAATAAGCTAGTTTAACTTTCTCAACAAGTTGAACCAAGCATAATTTGATATGCATTGAAAATTTTACATTATTTTTTAGGGTTGATAATTGAAATTGCATCATAATTTGGTTTAGGATACGTATAATTCATCACACAAAATTTATGGTAGCAATTTGAGTGATGAATTTGGATTTTCATTTTATATTTGAAATTTTACATAATCCATGTGTTTAAAATTATTTATTTGGGTAATTTAAAAATTTTAAATGAATAAAAGAACAAGTTAGGGTATTAATCATTAAAAAATTAAATAATATGATTAATTTTGAATATAATTAATTATGTTATGAGGTATATAATTGATTTATAAAATTGATTAATAAGATTGATTTTAATCAAAATTAAAAAGTAAAATTGAAAAGAAAAATTGAAAATCATAATTGAAAATCAAGTAAAACCATGGTTTTGTAAAAAAAAGCATATCTAAATACCTATGTTACATGTTAAAATCAATTATGAATCTAAAACTATATTTTTTAAAAAATATTTAAATACTCATTATACATGTCAAAATTAATTATGAACACAAAACTATAATTTCTTAAAAATATTCAAATACGTTGTTGCATTTTTCACAAGTGCACGGGATGTAACAAGTAATATAACATAAGTAAAGTATTGTTTCCACAACGATTTGTATTAAAAATATGATCAAATAAAAAATTAAGAAAGTTCAATCAAGTTAAGTGAAACATAATTAGATGGAGTTAATTTTAAAAATTATATTATAATTCAAAAATAAAGAAAATAAAATGATTTGCAAACTTTAATAGTAAATTGGAAACTAGTATTATTTATCTCAATTGCATGTCATAATACTAAAATAACATCCTCTCATAAATATTTTTAATAAAAATAAGTATTAACCTAAGGTTAATAAAAATGCTTGAATGCACTCTCTCAAGTTATGAATGAATATTTAGTTAAATTAATTACCCAACCCATTGTTACAATTAACAAAACCCAATTTTAAACACCAATCTTAGTGTGACTATACAAGACTAGCAAGAATATCTTTATCTTATTAGTAAAACCATCCATCCATCATGTAAACTTCAAGTTCTTGCATTATTTTACTCAAGTTATACACCTAAACTAGTCCTCTCAATTATTGCCTAAGTGAATAAATCAACTAAATAGTGACTAATCACTTAAAAGTATTAAAAGAAGAGTAAAATAAACACTTATATATATATATCATTAATAAAAAATGATTAAATTATAGTCTTTCAGCCTGACTTTTCAACACAAAGACTTGATCATAAGTATCAAGGACTTAGATCCCTTTGCCTTCATTTCTCTTCATTTGATAAGGCTTCAACAAAAATGGGTGTTCATTCAAATAAGAAATGCATAATCCCTTTATCAAAAATGATTTCAAGATACACGATCCAATTAGACCATTGGTAGGCTCTGATTCAATTTTTTCACAATTATCATTAAAAGCCTCCAATTTTTTTGAACACCTAATAAAATAAAGTTGACTCTCGTTAGTAAAAGTCTTAACATCAATAGGAGAATTAAGTGTATAAACTATTGGGATTTCCTTTCTTTCTTTTCTTCAAAATCAAATGGATAAGACTCCACAATTAGAACATCAACCAAACATCCTCTGTTCTCTTCTTCATTAACTTCCAATTCATAATCACCTTCAAAATCATGACAAGCTATTGATAACACTTCCATACTCCTATAGTCATTTGTTCACATGAGTCCTCATCTTTTATGGTATGATTGTCTGATATATTATTGAAAACATCTTCTTGATTCAAAAACTTAATGGTAGAAGCCATTTCATTTGCTTGAAATGTTAAATTTCAAAGACTCAATGCATGTTCATTAACTTTCTTTTCTTGTCAAGCTCTCATTTCATTTTGATTATCTAAGATACGTTGAAGATATCTTTTATTATAGACTTCTCCTTATAAGTGGGGATGCTTTCATCTATATAAGTATTGTGTGATATATGAGAATGTGATGCATGTGAGGGAAGATAATAAATAAAATCCCAAGGCAATGCATGTTCATGATTCCATCTAGGGTCACAAGTATCATCATAAAAGTTAATTTAGGCTTTAGTGTAATCTTCCTCCGCATAATCTAAAGGTGAAATATAAGGGCTTTGCTCATTATAGTGACCAACCCCATAAAAATTAGAAGTATGTGGGATTCACAAGCATAAGTGCATAATTAGAATTTATATGATCATCATACTCATATCCTCCACTTACTCTATTTGTTCACCAAGGCTAATCCATACCCTAAGAGAACAAAAACATGAATTAATTTTTGATACAAGGAGAACATAAGACAAATAACAAGAAAACACAAAAACAACAAAAAGAACAAATATAAACAAGAACACAAGAAAACAATAAGGAACAAGAGGAAACACAAAACAAAAAAAAATTTATGATATTCAAGCAAAATTTACTATCACCTAAGGTTGACCAAAAGATTTTTAGTGCGAAATCCCTATTAATGGAACCAAAAACTTGTTGCATTCTCCACAAGTCTCATTGGCTGTGAAAAGTAATATAATACGAGTAAAGCACCATTGCTACGGGAATTTGTATTAACAATACGGTCAAGCAAAAGATCAAGCAAGTCCAATTAAGTTGAGTAAAACATAATTAGATGGAGTTGATTTTGAAACTTATATTATAATTTAAAAATAAAGAAAAGAAAATTATTCTCAAACTTTAAGCATAAATTGAGACCTAATATTATTTATCCTCTTGCATCTCATAACACTAAAGCAACCTCTTCTCATAAATATTTTTAATAAAAATAAGTGCTCATTTAGCATTCTAAAAAAAAAACTTGAACTTGCCCTCCCAAGTTATAAACATGTGTTTAGTTAAACTAAATGCCCAGTTTATTATTACAATTGATAAAACCCAATTTTAAACACCCATTCTAGTATGGTTATGTAAAGTTAGCAAGTATATCTCTATCTTACTAGCAAAACTATTTATCTATCATGTAAACTTTAAGTTTTTGCACTATTTTATCTAAGTTTTACACTCAAGTTAGCCCTTTTAAGTATCACCAAGTAAATTAATTAATTAAATGATAGCTAATCAATTAAAAATATTAAGAGAAGAGTAAAATAAACACTTATATATCATTAATTACAAAAAAGAGGATAAAATTAGTGTTAATCCATACAAAGGTTCTTAATAATTTTAAAATAAAGTGTTTAACTACTTATAATCATTTACAAGTTACAAATACGTAAAATATGTGAACCCATATTAGATTAGAAGAGAGAAAAGGAGAAGAAACAAAAAAACTAAGAGAATGAAGCTTTAAATGTTTTCAAATCTTCATTCCCTTGCTCTATACTCTTCTAACTCCAAAACCCTAGCACACAAAAATCCCAATGGAGGCTCAAAGTCTGAAGAATGCCTTCAAAAGTCTCATAAATTTGTATATATAACCCTAGCTTCAAGTCTAATGCAAAAATACATAGCTTCAGTAAACGTCTTTTAACTACAGCATATTTATACTTGGTTATGGCTTAAACACCTTTGTGAGCATTTTAAGTAGTTGCGCTTATGATTTCTTGATTGCAACTAGAGTGCTTTTGTCATGTTCTAGTTTTGGCTTTTGGTTGAGGTTGAAAGTACTTCGACTAAGGTTTAATTCTTTACTCTTGTTCTTATATTTTTCTTTGTATAAGAACTTCATAACTCATTCTTTGCTTCTCAAATAGCACTCCAACAATCTAAGAAGACAAGTAATTTTGCACAGTTCAAGTTTAATCTTAACTAAAATAAAAATTATGTACAATTTAGATCAAAATGTTGTTATTTAAGCCCAAGTATAATATATGCACATTTTTATATTATATGTACCAAGAATATGCATGACTTAATCTAAAGGCATATGAACTTGTAGGAAAATGTGTTGAGATAATATAAATTTTTATAGGTTAACACACCTCCATATATGCCAAAATTAATTCTAAATCCAAAATTACAGTTATTTTATAAGCTAGTATCACTTAATTTTAATTCATACTTTCAATTATACTTTTTAAAAATTTATTCAAAAATTATATAAATTATTGTATAAATTAAATTTTTGAGTTTCTAATTGATTTTGATATATATAGAGTTGTTTTAATATTTTAAAAAAATATGATTTTGGGTTTAAAGTTAATTTTGATGTGTATAAAGAGTATTTGAGTGTTTTTAGGAAAACATATCCTCATGTATATAATTAATTTTAATACGTAGTAAAAATGTTGGAATATGTATTTATAAAATTATAATTTTTACCTTTAAAATTGATTAAAAAAATTATGCAAACGAGCACCTAATATAAATCTAAGCATGCGCGAATGATGGGACATTGAAACGTTTCACCTTTGTATCAGGCAGCTAACAGCTAACCCTACTTTCTGACTTCCGGTGCCTTGAAAGCAAGGCCTCCTTATAATTAACCTGATAACCTTCGTCGTCATCCATTATTATTTTCGTTTCTTTTCTTCTCTGTTTTCTTGTTAACATTTCGAATCGAACTGAGAAAATTTTCTTGCCTATCCAATCACTTCGATTCCCTCCAACGATTAATCACCTTTCACCGTTTTTTCTGCAAAAAGAGAAGGCAAAAGAAGAAGAAAAATAGAAACATGTTTTTGCCAATCTTTGCTACCGTATCATCAATCCCTAACGTTTCTTCAACCTGAAACTTTTGGATCGAAGATATTTCGACTCTCAGATTTTGCTTGTTTGTATTTCGACTTGAAGGGGAAGATGAGCAATCAGAAGAAGCGAAATTTTCAGATAGAGGCGTTTAAGCACCGGGTGGTGATGGATCCGAAATACGCCGACAAGACCTGGAAGATTCTGGAGCACGCGATTCATGAGATATACAATCACAACGCCAGTGGTCTCAGCTTCGAAGAGCTCTACAGGTCTCCTTCTTTCTCGTGATTTCTATCGGGTACCATTAATCTTGCGTGTGCCTTCCTCTGTGGGAAAGTTGTTTTTCTTCGTGTGATGTGGTTCTGTCTGATCTCTACTGGCCTTAGCAAATTGATTACATGCGCTACTGGATGGTCTATAGGTGGACGAGTCGGGTGTATCATCTTGATAAGCTTCGAACTCGCGGTGGTACTGTGTCAATTTTGAATGCCGGCACAGCTTATTATTGGCCTGTGCAGTTATTTACATTGTTGAGAATCTATAATTTAGTCGCACTGCTCGTAGTATTTGAGGTATTTAGACTGTACAAAATGGATCGGAAACACAGATTTATTGTTCTTCTTGTAGTTCCTTATGGTTAACTGTTCGTGGTGTGTGAATTGTGCTAGTTAAGGCTTCTGTGTCTTTAACGTATGTTTATGGGACAGGTTAATTGAATTCATGACGGGGCTCTTCTTTGAGACTATACCTGGAAATGCCATATTGGTAGTCAATTTTTTCATGTTGTGCATCAGCTTCTATTTTGTTCCATTTCTAAATTGTCTGAGTTGCTCATTATCTGAACGTTTGTTTCAATTTTTCCCTTTGTTATGAGTTCTTATGATATCTTAATCATCCAGTTGCCGTTTTATCTTTTCACAAATTTTAATATATTGGGAAACTAGTCTGGTATACGGTAAATGTCATTTTTTATTTCATTTTTCTTTCTTATGATATATTATTTGGTTAGAGGAAAGAGTGTGAGTTTAGAAGCTGGTAGGGTTAAAAACCTGAGCTATGTCACGGATTGTTTAGTTGAAATTCTGTATTGGATAAATATTTTCTTATTAGGATATTTTGAAGGATTCTGAGATAAATCATTGACAAGAGTCCACGTTAGTGTTTATGACTAGAAAAAAGATGTTCAAGTTTCAAAATGAATCCTTTACTGAAGTAGTTTTTACTTGCTGGGAGCTGTCTCTTCTGTACCAAGCCAAGAGGCTTAAAGAAGTTAGCAAATACCCCCATGTGGTCCAAAATATGAGTCATGTTTAGGTGTTGGTTATGGTTGGTGTATTAATGATTTTTTCCCTGTTTGCCCATGGTTTTAATTGAGATTTTAATGCACTTAATAGGGGTAGTGGTTGGGAAGGAATGCAGTTTTTAGACAAATTTAATTAGTCAGTCAACTTTTTACTTCTTGTTGGGTGTGAAATTTTTTGTAACATGACTTATGTTTTGGACTAGAAGGAGTATTTGTCTATGGATTCTAGAGTTAAAAAGAAGAAGAAGAAGAAGAAGAATGATCAAAACCTAAATTTATTAAATTATTTCAGTTTATCTATGTCAAAAAAAAAAAAGAGTTAGAGCTACTGCATCGATGCTCGGATGTAGTGTTAAATGAGTAAGGGCTACCACGTCATTCTGGACGTGCGTGGCTAAAGAAGTTAGTCCATAAGAGCAAGATTAGACTTGGTATTTGGAATGTTGGGACATTGAATTGTAAATTTGTAAAGGTTGTGGGGGTTATGATTCAAAGGAAAATCAATATGCTATGCCTGTAAGAAACAAAATGGTGTGGAGAAGAAGCTAAGGATATTCAAGGTTTTAAACTTTGATATACAGGAAAAGTAAGCACATGCAATGGAGTAAGCATCATTATTGATAAGGAGTGGAAGAAGAATGTTGTAGAAGTGAGCAGAATTGGAGATAGAATTATTTCCTTAAAAATGAGAGTTGGACGTGAGACTTTTAATATTGTTAGCGTTTATGGGCCTCAAGTCGAGACAGAAGTCAGTCTTAAGGAATTATTTTGGGAGGACATGGAGGGGTTGATTCAACACATACCACAAAGTGAAGATTTTTATTGGAGGAGACTTTAATGGGCATGTTGGAAAGGAGGCTAGTCGGTATGCAAGGGTGTATGGTGGTTTTGGTTTTGTAGAGCTAAACAATGAAGGACAAGCTCTTCTTAATTTTTCATTGGCGTATGATTTTAAAATTGGAGTAGCAGAGATGCTGGGCTCTAATGGGACAGCAAGAGCATAAAGTTGGAGTAACAGAGATGAGAATGTTACGATGGATGTGCGGACATACACGTAAAGATAAAATTCGAAATGAACACGTACGCGAAAAAATGAGGGTGGCACCTATTGAGGAAAAAATGGTAGAAAATCGGTTGATATGATTTGGGCATGTACAAAGAAGACCAAGGGAGGCACCAATGAGAAGAGTGAAACATATAACTTTGAGTCCGATTAAGAGAGGTAGAGGAAGGCTTAAGAGAACACTCTTGGAAGTTGTTGAACGCGATCTTTTAATTAATAATATTCCTAAAAGCTTGATAAATGATAGAGCACAATGGTGTCTTGCAGTCCATGTAGCCGATCTCACCTAGTGGGATAAAGACTTGTTGTTGTTGTTGTTGTTGTTGTATGATTTTAAAATTGCCAACACTTGTTTCAAGAAGAGAGATGAGCATCTTATCACTTACAAAAGCGGAGCCTCAAGGTCATAGATTGATTTTCTTTTGGTTGGGAATACGGATAAAAGACTTTATAAAAATTGCAAGGTAATTCTTGGGGATGCTGTAGTGACACAACATAGGGTCCTTGTCCTTAATGTATGTATTATGAGTAAAACTGAAAATGTTGACAAGTAGTAGTACCAAGAATTAGGAGGTGGCAATTAAAATGTGAAAAGTAAGATATTTTCAAGCGGAATCTTTTAGACAAAGAAATTTGAGAATTTCAGAAAAGTGCGAACCTCTTGTGAGAGGATATGACTAAAAAAATTAGGGAGGTTGTAAAAGTAGTTTTGGGAGAATCAAAAGGTTTTGGTTTGAGAGATAAGGAGTCTTAATGGTAGAATAATAGTGTACAGGACAAAATAAAACATAAGAAAAACTGTTTTAAAGCTATACATTTGTGTAACAATGAGGACAATTGAGAAAGGTATTGTATGGCTAAGAAGGAAACTAGAAGAGCTGAGTGATGCTCGTTCTAAAGTTTTTGAAGAATTTTATAAGAGCCTTGATAGAAAGGAAGGAGAATAAAATATTTATAAGATTGCTAAGAATAGAGAAAGAAAATCAAGAGATTTAGAATAGATAAGGCGTATAAAGGATGAAGAGGTAAGAATTTTAGTTATAGATGATGAAATTAAAAGCAGATGGGAAACTTATTTTTTTAAACTTTTCAATGATGGAGAGGGTTCGTCTAGTGATTTGTAGGATTTAGTAACTCGTGAAAGAGAACAAAATTTATCATTCTATCGAATAATACGTAATAAGAAGGTAAAAGAAGCTCTTAAGAACATGACAAATGGTAGAGCCAACGGACCTGATTGTTTATCTATTGAAGTGTAGAAATGTTTAGGTGAAGAAGGTGTGAGATGGTTACCTAAGTTATTTAATGTGATTTTACGGTCCAAGAAAATGCTTGACGACTGGAGAAAAAGTACATTAATTTCTATTTATAAAATACGAGATATTTAAAATTGTATTAACTATAGAGGAATTAAACTCATGAGTTACTCAATAAAATTGTGGGAGAAAGTAATTGAATATAGGTTGAGATTGGAGACAATTATTTTAAAAAATCAGTTTGATTTTATGTTAGGTAGATCGACTACAAAGGCGATTTATCTGTGAAGGGGATTAATGAAAAAGTATCGTTGTAAAGATAAAGATTTACATATAGTTTTTATTAATTTGAAAAACGCTTATGACTGTATATTAAGAGAGGTGCTTTGGAAAGCCTTAGAAAAAAAGAAATTACGGATTGCTTATGTTAAAGTTATACAAGATATTTATAGGGGGTAAAAACTAGTATAAAAATGTATAGTGGTCAAACAAAGAACTTTCCTATAAAGATTAGACTACATCAGAGATCATCTTTGAGTTCTTATTTGTTTAACTTGATCTTAAATGTTTTGATAGAACATATTCAAGAAAAATTTTTCAAATGTATGCTCTTCATGGATGATATAATTCTTACAGTAGAGACGAGAGAAGATATTAATTGTAAATTTAATTTATGGGAGGGGACATTAGAGTTGAAAGGTTTTCGTTTGAATAGGAGTAAAACGAAATATTTATATTGTAAATTTGGTAAGAGGTTAGTGGACAATAATTTGGAAGTAAAATTAGGAGATCAAATTATATTTTAAGTGAAAAAGTTTAGATATTTGAAAGCCATTATTCAAACAACAACAACAACAACAACAACAAGCCTTTATCCCACTAGGTGGGGTCGGCTACATGGATTGCAAGACGCCATTGTGCTCTATCATTTATTAAGCTTTTAGAAATATTATTAATTAAGAGATCACGTTCAACAACTTCCAAGAGTGTTCTCTTAGGCCTTCCTCTACCTCTCTTAATCGGACTCAAAGTTATATGTTCCACTCTTCTCACTGGTGCCTCCCTTGGTCTTCTTTGTACATGCCCAAACCATCTCAACCGATTTTCTACCATTTTTTCCTCAATAGGTGCCACCCTCACTTTTTCACGTATGTGCTCATTTCGAATTTTATCTTTACGTGTATGTCCGCACATCCATCGTAACATTCTCATCTCTGCTACTCCAACTTTATGCTCTTGCTGTCCCGTTAGAGCCCAGCATTCACTACTATATAACATTGCCGGTCTGATAGCAGTACGATAAAACTTTCCTTTAAGTTTATTAGGCACCCTACGGTCACAAATAACTCCTTTAGCTTTTCTCCAATTAAACCACCCAGCTTGAATTCTATGTGAAATATCTCCACTGATTTCGCCATCATTTTGAATAATGGCTCCCAAATATCTAAACTTTTCCACTTGAGGTATAATTTGATCTCCCAATTTCACTTCGAAATTATTTTCGAATAGTCCTTTACCAAATTTACAATATAAATATTCCGTCTTACTTCTACTCAGACGAAAACCTTTCGACTCCAATGTCCTCCTCCATAACTCAAGTTTGCAATTAACCTCTTCTCTTGTCTCTGCTATAAGAACTATATCATC